CCAGCCCGTGGGCTGTATGTTGTATGCCTAGACCCTGTAATTCTGATTGTGTAAATTAAATAAATTTATTAAAAAATTTTTCCAGTTTACTAATAATTTTATAAAAATTTGGGCAATTTAACAAATTTATACTTTTGTAACATTACACTATTGTCAGTAAAGAGGTAAGTTCTATTGTTTGGTTTGTTAATCAAATGTTCTTTGAGCCTTGCACCTGAGTGAGTAATAGCTGCTAGTTTTACCAAATATATAAGCAAGCTGTTTTTGACTGCAAATAGACCATAATATTGACAACAAAAGTGAGACACATGTTTTTACAAGTTATCCCAAAAACCCAGTTACCAACTTCAGGGAAAGGCAGGGAAGTCACTCTTAGCCTAGGGATAAGACGAAGATAAGTCTGGATAGGGGAGCAAAGTTAAAGTGTTTAACCGTTAAAATAAAATACTCGCAAATATTTTTGTAAATTTATTTTTTTCATCATAATTTCTACAAAGACTGGACAAATTAATAATCAACTATGAATTTAAAAACCAGTTTGTCTGGGTGAAAACAGGCCTGCTGGCAACACTAGTGCCTGTGTTTGTTGCTTGCCTTCCCATAGAGTTAACATTATCTCTCTCCATTCACCACACCTGAACCATTGTATCTTTCTCAAATCTTTCTTCAGTGGCATCATTTACAGTATAAAATCTTTAATTTGATACTTGAACTGTATTTTTAGCCCCAGCTGTTTATTCAAACTAAGTTGGAAAACTGAAACTTTATTTCAATTAATATATATAGAACCTGTACTAGCCTAAAAATTTTGTGAGTCACAGTGACTCATTAAGTTTGTAAATGGAAGTCAACTTAAGTAATCCATTAGTCACATCAGTTAGTTTCAAAAACTAATTGTATGTAAACACAGCACTGGTACATATTTATAAATAAGACTCAGGGTGGCTAGATTTTTTTCATTGGCTTATGTCCATAAATGTTTTCTTTCATGCACTCATTTTGCACTAAATTTTCTTATTTGTATGTTAATTTTTATAATTTTAGCCTTTTTTTTCAGAAAGTTAACATTTGCCTAGAATTCACTTACAATTGCTCTGGGCATAAAAAAATTTTTAGATGCCTAAGCTTGTAATTTTTCACTGAGAATTTAAAAATATAAGCATCTACATGCCCATCTGGCAGCCCTGATAAGACTCATGCTATTCAAGCCTGCCTATCTGTCAACAAGGTTATGACTTTGTAGAGCCAATTTGCTAAGCCTATACTCGTTCAGGTTGCACACCTTAACTTTACCCAATGGAGGACAGCCAAACTTTAGTTAGATTGTTGGCTACTATGTCTTAAAGTATTTGCATTTTCAATCCCATACTCTCACACACCAGACACTGCATGCTAATAGTTGTAACATCAAATTTCAGTTAGTCACAAACTGACTCACCAGTGAAAATGTTGCAAGTCAAAGTTACAGAAATATTAAATTTTATGCATAAAAATGTGAGTAAAGGAAGGATCTGATATAAATTCATTAAATATGTTCTGTTTATGGATTAAAAAGTATCAAAATTTTAGTTTTTGTATTATTTACAACAGCTTATGTTGGATTCATGCAACTTAGGTACTGAAAGCAGTAAGTAACACCCTACACAGCAATTGATGCAACTTTTTGCACACCTCTATATACAAAAAAGATGTTTAACTGTAAACAGAAATACAAAATGTAACAATACAGTAGTGTTAATTATCTGAAATAATTGGATAACTGATCACACTTGTTAAACCAGCTAACATGTACCAATACACCTGAACAGATGCCACCTATCCCGTATAATTTAATGTGTGGATAATACATCATCATCCATATCTTCAAGTATACTAGTATATGCATAGCAAGCTTTAGGGAAAGAAAATATAAATACCTTAAATAAACTATAAATTTCAATTCTAGTATAATAATAAGAGGTTAAGGCATAAAAATTTAATGCATTAAAAGTCTGTAATTTAACATTTTTTTTCTATTTGTATTGTAATAAATAAAATATAACAGTAGTATTGATAATGAGATACTCAATAATGGGCATACAGAAGATGGCTAATGATTGTTATTACATAAATACTTTGCAATTTCAGAGAGTACAATTGCAATTACAAATTTGCAATTGTACTCTGAAGTTTATTTTGATTAATTGATTTTTTGGATGACCAACACTTTACTGTATATCTTCTGAAAATTTCATTAAAATTAAAGTGAAAACTACTTTTTCATTCTGAAAAATTTGTCAAAATTAGCTCACAGGTTTTCAAACTTAAGGCTGGTATACACGGTAAGGAAATCCTCAAAGGATGTGCTTAACAGACGAAAAAAACTCGGATATAACTGGCTGGATCGAACATAGTAATTTACAAAACTTATTAAAATATCTCCCAACGTATAAAGAATTATTTTTATTTAAAAATGGATAGATAGAAAAAAAAATCACGGTTAATCCTCAAAGGATTTCCTTACCGTGTATCCAGCCTTTATTTTGACCACCGGCCACTTTGAGATGAAAAAAAATGTAATGCCCCCATATTTTTTAACTTACGTTTTTACATTACCATCTGTTGCATATCTTAAAAACAGTTATTGCAAATATAATGTTTAAACATGTATTATTATATGGATAGGATAGATAGGGTGTGACCCATATCCTATTTCTGAGATCAAAGAATGTTTCAATGAGAAGAAATAAAACTCATATTTAACTCACTGAGCCTTCTACTGCCCCCTGAAAGCCTCCAGTGCCCACAAGAGGGCATCACCCACTTTGAGAAAGGATGATCTAGCCAATCAAATATTAATGTTCGTTTTAGTCATATGATCAGAACATTCAAAAAAATTTTGGCCGAATCTTTTTCAGTTAGAATTTACAGGATCTACATATTTGAAAATACTTTCCAAAGTTTATTCATTTTAAATATATTTCTGTCTATTATTTGAAACAATTTATAAATTGGTCAGTGTTTGTAATAATAATACAGTTTTGTATCATCATCGTCAACATTTTATATACAAAGTATATTTATACCAACACACTATTTGATTTTTACCCATAAATTGCAATAGTTGTCTCAAAATATCTATTTACATTACCTATATTCCTTTGTCAAATACAAAAACAAAACTGAAATTTTATTTTCTGTTTTTGTTTCTACATTTGCTTTACACAATGTAGAAAGAAAATGTATGAATATACAATACATAATATATTAAATAATAATAATAATACTTAATAAATATAAAATACACAAAAAAGGAACATGTCATGCCCCTTTCTTTAAGTAAATGAATTATTTCCATTATTAACCTTTTTAGTTAGATATTAGTTAGGTAATGAATCTGCAAAAATATTAAAATTACCACTGCAATTTTAGAAAGAAGCTATTTTTAATATTAGTAAATGAATGAATATTAAATACCAATATTAATTAACCCTCATCTTGGCATATAGAGTATTAAGAGCTCAGCAAAAATTTACTTCGAAACGAATGTTTTCTACTGTCTTCAACGGTCATCATCAGGCTCGATTCCAAGTGTTCAAAATGAAGATGTTGAAGATAGTAGAAAATGTTCATTCCGAAGTAAATTTTTGCTGGTTTTTTCAGTAATTACATAGTTATTTTTATTGTATTAAGAGCTCACTTGGGGCATGTGCATCTGCAGGATACATAATGCAAATGAATGCAATTTTTTCTGTTTTTATGGATGTATATGCTTGACTACAATTATATCTTTGGTTTCTACATTTTCTCTACTATCTAACAGTATAAAACACTTGTGGGTTTAAAAAAAATAAGATTTTATGTATATGCTTTGTAATTTGATCTATAAATGCAAAAAACTAAACTTATCAATTTTCAACTCACTATAAATTATTTCAACTCTCACTTATTGACATCAGAGTTGTGTTAAATTTTATAGGATTGTATTATGTAATAGACTGGGCCAGTCCCCGACTGTGATGGTCAGCAAAATGCTAATCGTTTTATTACTTCATTTTCAAACACTCTCTTCTCTTCAGTGGTGGCTCAAATGACTAACAAATTGTTTTCTTGCACTAAGGGGAATGTTTTTTATATTTAACAACTGGTGTTGCCAGTAATGAATTTATAATTTTACTTTTAATTTTTTTGCAAGATAGTTGTGCACATTTCAAAAATCAGTTACATAATTTCAAAAATAGACATTGCTTGAAATATTACAGAAAATATGAAAATTTATTGCCGAATGTTTAGGAAATGAACCATTCAAAAATATAATGCATGGACCACCAAGAATTCAGCAATTTACTACTTGATGTCAAATCTTCAAATTTAAAGCTTAATAATTTAAAAAAATATTAATAAAATTACCAAATAAATGTTTGGGTCAAAATTAATAAATGGTATTGCTACATAATGAACATAAATTTTAACTGTTGCAAAATTGAAAGTATTAAATTTCTTATCATGTTCTGATTGAGAGAAAGCTGGGTGATAACGCTAAAGTGAGAAAATCATTTTGTCAAAAATAGTTGCAATAACTAATTTGAAAAGAATTGATATTGGTCTGGTCATTGAAACCAGGAAAAAGACAGTGTAGCATTGTGGTAAAGTTTAAATATTCTACATTGTTATTTTATTGAATTACAATTGTTATGTGCAACAATTGAGAGTAAAGTGTGCTCATGCTGCAAGAGAATTTACTGCATTTGGAAGTAAGGTACTGTTTTTCATGAAATTTCTCTGAAAAAAGGTCATAAACTTGAAACCATTGTAAGAATCACTTCAGAACATATCAATTGAGAACTAAAACAAAGCTCCCAGTTCAACTATTATTTATTTTTGAGAAATTCATAGAAAACACGTTATGTATTTTCTGGATACATACGCCCCAAGATGAGAGTTAATTATTATCATCATCACCTTATGTGTTAATTCAATTAGTTTTTAGTTTATGCATTTGTTTAATAGATTTTACTTACCTAATGTTAGCTTGTTGTAATAATCTAAGCCAAGGATCAGGAAGACCTTCTATTTCTCCAGTGGATGGATTACAACCAACATGAATATTATGTTTTACTGAAAAAGGTTTCCCAATTTCAGCTGGAGGAAGTGAAACTTCCTTCTTTGAAGTCTTCTTTGAAATTAATTTTGTTAGGAGACCACTCATATTGTTACAATATATGGAATGTCTTCATGTAATACTAAAAAATAAATTACAAAATTATATTAATAAATTTTATTGGTAAATGAAATTATATGTATGCATCATTTTATATAAACATAACAATAGATAAGTTGTTAGCAAAGGATTTTGATAATATAATTTGCATTTAGTTCATGGATTCTATTTTGATTTATTTTTCCTTCTATAAAAAAATAATAAAATAAACTTCTTTCAAATAAATCAATATTTTAAGCTTACATAATTTTTTACTTCTGTGATCATACTATTGTTCATAAACAGCATATGATAATGCCATAATGGATTAATTTTCTTTTGAATTCTTTATGAACTATAATTACATTGTCACTAAATAAATTAATGAAAAATTATTTCAGCTTTATTGACAACTAGCTTACCCGTCGCGCATTGCTGCGATCTCAAAAGAAACGAAATTCAAGCAAACTCGTTATGATAAAATTCAATTTACATTTGATCATTTTTATTGTAACTTATTATTATTATTAATTTTCATCGGGAAAACATTTCAAAGTGTCGTTTCAATTCTATTTATTTATTGGAGTGCTTGTGGATACACGATATTTTTTGTATTTCCGTCTGGTGCATACACGAATAAATCGGAAGGTTTTCCGACGCGTGAGCCGGCCACATACAGTTGTCCATGCGAGAAGCGCAGATTCTCTAAATTTAGCCCACACACTTGCAGCTATTGTCAGAAGTGCGATATTTCCAATTTATATATATATATATATATATTTTAATCCTTTATAATTTTAATTATTTAATTGCTCCTTCCTTTCTTCCTTGGCATGTTGTAAAATTTCTGATAGTTGGATAATACAGTCGACCCCCCTATAAGATCATTGATTTTTCCGTTTTATCTGAATTACATGTTGTATGAGTCATTTAGATTTTACAAATATGTGAGCCATTCACAGTCCGGCACACGTATTTGTAAAATCTAAGTGACTCGTACAACATGTAATTCAGATAAAACGGAAAAATCAATGATCTTATAGGGGGGTCGACTGTATANGAGTATATTAAACAACTTCCCAAAGTTTCACGGCAATCGGATAAACGGTGTGGTAATGCATGAAGGACACACACACACACACACACACAGACACACATACATTCATTTTTATATATATAGATGACTTATCAAAATTTTATATATGATGTTTATAAATATTTGTGATTTTATTTTAAAATTCTTTACTTTTTCTTTTAAACTTATGAAAATACTACATTTCTCAAAACAGTCCATCCTGATGCCAAATGTAAAAATTTTATTTAATATCTGTTATCAGATGTCCAATAATATTGGCAAAATTTTAATAAAGCCCTGTAAAGAATTGGACTCTTCTTTTTCAGTTGCATTATTCGCATTGTTATTTTATTACTACATTTAATTTGAAGATTTTGTTTAATTCTGGATGATAAACTTCACATTCCTGACTCATTATTCAAAACTCTCATCTATCAGTTATCATTTGGAACAATGTTCTAATCATTCTTATAATTGTCATATCCAACTTAAAGTAATTTAAATTGAATATAAGAATAGTCTTCTTGATCAAATAATCACACAGTAAAAATCTGAATGATGATGACAACATTAATATATATATTTTTTTAACTGTTTACTATTAGTGAACAACAGTAATTAGTTAAACTCTTTTGTAAAAAAATTACAGTTACATTTCTATATTACCTAAATCCTATATAGCAAATTTCTCTTTTCAATGAATTTTTCTGCAGATTATTAAAAATACAGGTAACTCCCATATAATACGGCACTTCTATAGCACAGATTCACTCTAACACAGTTTGAGAATTGGAAACATCCCTGTATAACATGGTGCTTTTATAGCACGGGTTCACTCTACAACGGTTTGGGAATTGAGTAAAACCCTCATACAACATGAAATATAATAAAGAATGTGTTCGTTTGTAACTCCACGTGAGCATTCTAATTGTTTTCGTGGCTGGATGAAGTTCAAATCAACAAAAATCTCCAATAATCCAGTAAAACACGCACTTTAATAGACAAACTAATGTGTTCATTCCTCCATCTCTACCTAGCATGGACAACATTTTTGAAACAATACCTGTATGTTGTACATCCTTTTTCAATTTTTGTTACACGTGACAATGTAACTAATCATGTAAGTGTTCTTTTTGCTTAAGAAATCACTGTTCAAAAGCAGTAAACATTAATATAGCACAATATATTCTGGCAATTGTTTGGCATTAAAAAAAGATAGTTTATAACAGTCCCAGATAGAATAATATCCATGGCTTTATTCCACTTAGCTAGATTGAGTATTTGGGCTATACAGAGAAGCCTAACCAGCAGTTTTACAGGGGATAAGTTATTATTAATGAGGGAGATTATCATCAGCATTAACAGAACAACTTGCCACAGATACAAAAGCAGTTCTGCCATGGGAAGATACCAACATCATGGTACTAAATTCAAAGTGTTTATCACTCAGAACAGTTGAAGAGCTTATAATGCCATCATGGAGGTTCCAGTCATAAACAAAAGAAGGAATTGACCTGGATCCCTGGATTTGGCTTACTTTGTCTTTCCAATCAATAGCTAGCCCTCTACAAAACTGCCAGTTAAGCTGGGTGGGCTGGGTGGCATAACATTGAGCATATTATTCCATCAGGGACTGTTACAAGACTATCTTATCTTTTTTTATTTTACATTCTTGTTAATTATTTATTACCTGCCAATTATTCTTTTCTTTGTAAAAAATTTTAGTTCAAATTTTTATATTCAAACTTAATTTTATACCAGTGGTCATGGAAGTTTTTCTAGTTTTTTCGATTTCTTGAACACAATTTTACGAATCTTCATATGTAAAACTGTACAAATCTGCCCTTTATTATAGTTTTACATACCATTTCAATTTTTCAGGCTATTCCTATCCTTGATCGACTTGAAACAAGAACACTATTCTTATTTTGTGCTTTGTATACTTTTATTAATAGACATACTTTTTTTTTTATTCAAAGTACATGAACAGTAATATACTATAGCTGTTTCTGTGATAATTATTGATTCCAAGTGTGCTAAATATTTCTGCTTCTCATATCAAACCCATGCACTAATGTCTTTAAAAAATTCACAAGCTAACTGGTTTTACCAGCACACCATAATGCCACTTCAGTCTTCCTTGGTTTCCATAATGTTTATATCAGAAGTTGTGAATGATAATGGTAAAGAACATTGTATTAATAACCCCCAATGACAAGCTAGATATGCCAGTTTATTAGGTTTGCCGGCATGCCAGATTCCAGGTTAATGGAATTTTATTGTAAACAAGCAATTATTTATTGTGACATCATCACAATGCCAAGCTGCAATTTTATTCATATTTTTAATTTATTTAATTTAAAATATATGCTCCCCGCCTCAAATTAGTGAAATAACATGACTTCTGGTTTGCATTGGATGTTCTTATATAGTTAATTGAAGCCTCCTGATCCTAAGGTTTCCAGATCTGGTCTTGTTTTTTATCTATCTAACTTCGTTCTTGACATTAAGGAAAGACAGATGGACAACAGTGGGAATGTATATGTGAGGCTCTGGACAGGTCCGAACCCTCACTAAAATTCGCGGAAAATAATTGTTTTAGAAAAAAAATATATTAGTTAGAAATAGATTTTTATGATATGAAAACGCGACACTAGACAATAGAAGACTTTTAAACAATAGAAGAATGTAAGTCCGTCGATCATTTCCGGTGGGAGATCGAATTAAACTTCGATTTTGACCTCTCCCGCGCCCTCGAAAGGTTTCGAATTGTCATCAGGTGACGAGGAGAGACCAATCGGAAAGGGGAATCTGAGAGAAAACGGATAAAACCCCGGAAATTCGAGGACGCGACGGCTTCTTCTCCCGAAAGTTCCAAGTGACGGATCTGTTGTTGTGTGTGTGTCTCGCACCCATCTTCGTCTCCATCTCCCGACCTCGGATCGACATCTTTCCATCAACGGAAGTCGACCGCATCGTCCCGGAGTCGTCGAGACGTGATGGAATGGTTCATTCGCGAACAAGGGACACTCCTTCAAAATGGGACTATCTTGGAAAGGAGAGGAAGACCCAGAGGCCGCAGCCGCCGCAGAACTTCCAAGATCGCGGAAATCTTGTAAGCTTCTTTCGTGTTTAATAAACGGTTGTGTTGTTTGTAAACGAAGCATCTATCTCTGACTCAACTGCTTCCACATGTCGTTGATTGTTACCGCTCGGCAATCCAAACGGCAAGGGAGACGATGACGATATATATCACATATTATCGTTCCTCGAAAGTTTTTTAAATTTCTCCCCCCCTCGGCCCCCACATATAGGTCTACAATTTTTTCAAATTGTAGCCCAATAAAAATTAATATGTTATTTTCTCTTGTTTATATTAATTTAACTTATTAATTTTATATACTGTTTATTTCAAATAAATAAAATAATTTAATTATCTCAATTTATTTTTGATGTTATTTCTTTGAAAAATGTATTGTATTCATATTTAATTTTGAGATGAGTGAATCTCAACCCTCATAGAAACAACAATTGAAATATAGGGATTTCTGTAAATTATCTTTACAACATTAAAGCAACCAAAGCCAAATTAACGAGCTAGAAACGGCTATAATAATAGTTTAATAAAACAGCTTTCCAGTTAGTTCTAAATTTATTTAAATTATTTAATTAAAATTATAATTATTAAATTTAGCATGAGATGGCTCCTAATGACTAACTCTAATACCAAATTATCTCAAATTATTATTATTGTTATAGCCGTTTCTAGCCTGTTAATTTGGCTTTGGTTGCTTTAATGTTTATTGGTTAGCTGATGTTTGTTTATATCTTTATAACTTCATAAATAAATACAAAAAGAGAAATTGAAATATTTTTTGTATGTGAAACAAATTCTTAAAGTTCTATTTACAAATTTCAATATAATAAAGAATAAATCACTAGTCATAGGTAACATGTCAAAATATAGT